CCTCCTACTTCATGAGTATAGAGTGCTGCAAGATGTGACACTTGCAACCCCATGGGAGTGGGAGTTAGCAAGTCCCACCTTTCAGTAATGGTCAGGGTATATTTGGGATACATTTTGAAGTTTCGCTCAGGCATCACAATGTCATTTTGGTTGAATATGGCATCCACAAAAGGCACCTTTTTCAGGGTTTACTCATAGTGTACCTTGAACGCGGTCTTTGTTTCCAATAATTTTGTTGCTCTGATATGAAAATTACATCAAACTCATGTCTGAAAATCCTGAAGAGGATATCAGCAGATATTTAGTATAAGGTTAGAAAGCCATGTTAGACGTCCCGGATAAAATGGTCAGTGAGGGAAGGGAAGAGCCCCCATGTGTTGAGTTTATAATAACTAGTGTACCATATACCCTTAATTACTACAGATGATGACCGTCAAAACTTCATGTTAGTATATAGTGGTAAATAATAAAGCTAACTAATATCAGAATTACACAGGTCTGCTACCTCATAAAGGCTATTCTTTCCCTATTGGTTTACTGCGCTACGCCCGGCTGTCTCATTGAGTTCCATCTCCTTCATGGCCCATCTCATCCTTTCTGCATCTTTCAACATTCCAGATTCAAAGTACATGTTTGACATCAAAACATAGAATGTGACATCATTGGAGCCTGACTGGAAGAGGTCCTTGGCAACGAATTCGGCTAGCTCCAGATTACCGTGAAGCTTACAACCCCCAAGGAATGCACCCCACACGCACTTGTCTGGGCGCAAAGACATTCCCCTGATGATTTCATATGCTTCGACAAGTCTACCAGCACGCCCTAGCATGTCAACCATGCAGGCATAGTGCTCCAGTGTAGGCGACATTTGGTAGTCAGAAAGGATGGTGTTGAAATGCTTTAGGCCCTGATCGACTGGCTGGAAAAACGGCTGATGCTGATGCTGATGCTGATTTGTTATAAGAGAAAAACACCGTTACTTCGCTGAAACAGTACGGCTGATAAGTTCAAGCAAACAGGGTTAGTCCTTCGTTAACAAGGCCTGAGTGGCCACATGCCACTAGAACTGCAGTGAATGTGAACGAATTTGGTCTCACGCCTCCACTTTTCATCAGGGAGAAGATTTTAAGAGCCTCTTCAGAATCACCATGGTTAGCATATGCACTTATCATGGCACTCCAGGACACAACACTCCGCATACGCCAACAGTCAAAGACATTCCTTGCACTTGCCGATCCTTGCATCTGCGTCAAGCCCATGATTCCGGGCAAACTCATGCACCCATTGAAAAGTCTCCAGGGCTCCTGAGCGTGCGCAAGCAGACAGAACACTGACCAAAGTCACACAATCAAACCTCACCTTCTCATTAAGCATCCTACGGAAGATTTTTTTTTTTTTTTGACAACAAACGACTTTATTATCAACAGCAAACAGCTGTTAGTAGCCTTACAGAGTTCAAGGCTACAGGTTGTAGTGCCTCTAGCAGAGTGCACTGAACATGAGCTGCATTAGAGCAGTTACATGATAAGCCTGATGAAACAGGTGATTGCGATTCTAAGAGAGCTTGCCTAGCTAAGACATCAGCCATCTGATTGTGAGCTCTCTGTACCCTGAGAATTCTCATATCTCTTTGGCCTGTGAAATTGGAGAAGGTTTGAGTGAAGTATTTGATCCTCCACTCCGGTGGATTAGCTTGGTCGAGGCCATTTAGGAAGTGCACCAGCAGCTGATTGTCAGAGAGAAAGATGACCTGCTGCAAACCAAGACAGTTAGTGACAATTGCCGCAAGGGCCATTGCCGCAGCCTCGGCCATCAGCACTGATGTTGTGGCCGTCATAATCGCCTTGATGTAGATGGTCTGCGCATGGTGAACCTGGGTATTGATGATGAACAGACCAATTCCTGCATTTCTTGGAGTAAGAGAGGGGAGGTCAGGTGATGTTGAGGCATCGGTGTAGCATCTGACACCCTGCAGCAAGCCTGGAAAGCGAACGAGGTATCTGTCCTCCGGTGGATCCCTGTCTGCTTGCATCAGGTGTGCAGTATTGGTGAAGCAGCAGTTCCTGCATTGTAGATTGGTGTACCTGATCGCGGCGAGCCGCTGGTGTCCTGCACTTGTTGGTCTGGTGTGTGGGAGACGGTTGTGTGACCTGCAGGGAAAGGAGCTGTACCTTGCAGAGGAGAGGAAGTTCCTGGAGCTGTGGAATTGGTGTCTACAGTTTGGGTTTGTAGGGAAGCCTGGTGGGTACTGATGTATGCCGCCACCACCGCGTGATGCACCTGCCAAGGAGTCCAGGACTTTCTCTGAAAACTAGTGTCGTTTCTGGCCTTCCACAAATACCACATAGTGATTAGTATCTTGCTAAGCAGATCATTAGAGGTAGAGATAATAGCCTGGAGGGTCAGTTGCACTCCATCGTGGTCCCATACATTGCGATGAGCGCATTAGCCAATGGAATGTTTGCATCAAACCCCAACCTGATCACGAACCCGTGAACCATTTCCCCGGCATACAGCCATTCTTGGCCCTGCAAGCAGGGCAGGAAACTGATCATAGTGATCTCATTCGGAAGGACACCCTCTGCAACCATCGTGCCGAACAGCGCAACTGCCTCCCCAAAGAAGTAGTTTTGCATGTAGCCAGCAACCATGGCAGTCCACGACATGACCGTCCGGGACGAGCCATGGCTCTCCGCAAAGACCAGCTCAGCGTCTGCAACCTCCCCTTCCTGGAAGTACATCGCGATGAGAGCGCTGCGCACGAACCCGTCGTGTGGAGCTGGAGCTGGACCTGTAGCCCTGAATGAAAGTCTGAAGATTCAGGCAGCCAGCCATCATCAGTGAATCCTCGTGCTGCTGCTTCTGACCGTGACCGTAGCAACCGGAGGTGATGATGCGCGGCGCTTGTCGTAAGCTGTGGCCATGCGCCGCGCCGCCCGCGCAGACGCGTCTACGCGAGTAGGAGGGCGGCCGGTGCCCATATTTATTCAATTCTGGATTAGCAACCACCTTTATCTGCTAATCACCTGCATGATTCCCCGTCAGGTAGTACAGCAGTATTAAGCTCGCCTGCATCTCCTCGCCTATCAAGGCTCGAGCTTGTTCGTTTCATCGGAAACGACAGTGGATTATTTACTGTTGACTAGTTTGGTGTGAGAGAAAAATAGTATTCTAAATTATAATTCATGATCGTATACGACCCAGCGAAAAGCAAACAGCCTAGGAGGGCACATGTCGTAAGCTGTCAACAAGTCGCACGTGCGGCACCGCGTGCTGGAACTTGAGCCGCCGCCGGCCGGCCACCGCCACGATCTTGTCCTACCCGTTGCCGGATTGGTAAGCCACGGGCACGTGCACATGGTACTTACGGTAGGGTTTGTCTTAAAGTCTTCTTCTTGCACCTCAGTTTTTTTTTCTCTCTCTTTCCCCTCTCTTCTTTCTTCTTCTATTAAAAATATAAATAGCCAGCATGAATGGGGTAGGACCAAGATTCAGGTGAAAATACATCTTGATTTTTAGTGTAATTACGGTGATTTTTTAGTGTAGTTTTTAGATAGAATTAGTTACTATACATGGGATTATGGGTGGTGGCACACCGAGGCCTTTGTTTAATTTCAGGGCGTAAAGTTTTGGGGTGTCATATCGGGTGTTATATGTAGATGTCGCATTAGGGTGTTTGGATGCTAATAAAAAACTAAATTATGGAATCCGTCAGTAATCCGCGAGACGAATTTATTAAGCCTAATTAATCCATCATTAGCACATGTGTTACTGTAGCGCCGCATTGTCAAATCATGAACTAATTTGGCTTAAAAGATTCGTCTCGTAAATTAGTCGTAAACTATGCAATTAGTTATTTTTTAGTCTATATTTAATATTTCATATATGTGTCAAATATTAGACAGGATGAGATAGAAAATAAACTTTAGGAAGTAACTAACCAAGCGCTGGCTGAAGCAGGCCCGGAGATTCAGAGAATACGGGGTACGATGGGCCATGGGGAAGACAGATTTGTCCTGAGCTGAGCTGCATGCGCGCCGCCCGCGCAAACGCGTCTCTGCCTGCCTGCAAATCTGCAACCGAGGCCGGTGCGGTGCTTCATTTTAATTTATCCGTACCCCTCGCCAAAATGATTGTGTAAGCACGTGCGCCTGGGATGGGTGAACGGATCACCGTCACCGCCGCCGCGCCTCCACAGGCACGTGCATCCATTCAGCTCCAGTCGTTGATCTTCAGAAACCGAAGGAAAACAGAGAGAGGGACATTTGAACCGTTGCCATTTCCCCTTTGAAGAGTCCTCTGCACCATCTTCCCCACAAAAAATAATAATCCTACATTTGAACCGAGTGAAATTTTCTCAAATTTGACTGAACTTATAGAAAATATATGAAATTCAATGATACTGAAAATATTAGTCATTTGTTTTTGTAAATTTGATTACATTTAAAATTGTTTGATTTTTTCAAAAATCCATAGTTACATTCTTTTTTACACAGAGCGAGAAGGCAGAGGATGCAAGTCTAACTGAAAAAAACCTCAGTGCGAGCAGCAGCAGGACTAGCTAACTTACACTCACTCCACCCATGCACGAAGAGCAGCAACAGGGGATCCTGCGATTCCTGCCTAGTTAATCTTGTTTTTCCCTCCCATGAAGATTAGCATTTACCAGTGTTAATCTTAATCCTATTCCCAAAAAAAATGTAGAAGGAGAATAACACTAACAAAAAAAGACTCCTCTCCTTTTTGTTTCAAAGAATAGCAGTATAAACTCTAGGCAGAAAGTTGCAGGTCTTTTATTATTCTCGCCCCCAAAAAGGCAGAAGAACGGGAAATGCGTTCTTGCACGCCGTTTCGCCGTTCCCTCGTGTACTACGAACATTTGAATTCAAATTCAAACTCCCGTGACCCTATCAGCCCAGCGTGTCTGCTCTCCCAATCTCCTGTGCTCGAGACTATAGAGCAGCAGCTGAACCCGTGCCGGGTGCAGGCGTGCAGCAAGCTCAGTAGTAGCTCCAGAGCGTCATGTCGCCGGCGCACCCGGCGCCGTCGTCGTCGCCGTCCATATTGGTATGCCACCCGCTGCCGCCGCTCTGCCAGTCGTTCCCGCACACCATCCCGTCGTCGTAGTAATACGAGTGGTCCAACTCCATGCCGGCACCGTACGCGTACTCGCCGCCGTACATTGCGGCCGCGGCGTCCGCCTGGTACGACGCCGCCGCCGACGACGACGACGAGGGCGCGGGCGAGGCCTGGGTGATGGACGTTGACGCCGCGGGCACGGCGGCGCCCTGCTGCGCGGACGACGAGGAGGCCGACGAGTCCTCGGCGAGCTGGATGGCGGCGCGTCGGATGTCGTCGGGGGTGGCGAGCGTGGCGGGGTCGACGCGGAGCAGGCGCGCGGAGTCGGCGAAGTTGAGGCAGGCGGCGCGCCCGCGGAGCGCGAGCGCGGCGACGTCGTGCGCGCGCGCGGCGGCCTCGGCGGTGGCGAAGGTGCCGAGCCAGATGCGGGACTTCTTGTTGGGCTCGCGGACCTCGCACACCCACCGCCCCGCCGGCCCGCGCCGCCGCACGCCGCGGTACACCGGGTGCCGCGTCTCCCGGAACTTGGTCCGCCCCGCGGGGCGCTTCGGCGGCGCCGACAGCACCGTCGCGTACTCGTCCCCGTCCCCGGACGACGGCGGATCCTGCTGGTCGTCGTACCCGTACCCGTAGTCGCCGGCGACGCCGTACTCCATGGATTGGGCGGCGGTGGTGGCGGCGGCGATCGTTCCAGTGGTGTCTAGAATGTTCCTTGGTTCGATCGAAATGGCTGGCGATGGATCGATTGCTGGAGTGGGAACGTGTGTGCGGTCTGGTTTATATAGGATTTGGTGGTGAAGGGGGAGAAGTTTGAAGCGGGGCGCGTGGCGGGAGACGGAGGTGAGCTGGAGACTCCCTGGGGGAGAGTGCTGTGCTGCCTCTGCCTGCGGGACGGTGGCGAGGCGGCGGGGGAAGCCGTGTTGGCGTCAGCGTGGCGTCGCGTAGGGTGGGGTCCACGCCATTGCTTAGCGGACGGCGTTAAGGAACGATGCGGATTGGGGAGACTTGGGGCCCCGCCATGGCAGCGACAGAGGAAGAAGGTGGGGGTGGCACTGGCACTGGCACGTGGAGATGGCGACAGCGGCTGGCTTTTGGGCAGCTGGGCTACCTGTCAGGCTGTGCTGCTGCCGTCTTCGGTCTTCGGTCACTCACTCACTGACATCCAAGGCTTCACGAAGAATCAAGAGGACGCACAGGATCTAGCAGGGCATGGGTGCGATGCGACTCTTATAGGGAGAAAAAATAAAAAGGAGAAGGTGTCGTCAGGGCGTCCTCAGCGGTGCGCTCAAATGGCCGGCTGAGCTGGAGGCTAAAATCAATAAAGAAAGAAATAAATAAATAAAGCTTAGAGCACAGGTGATTAGACATTGGAGCTGTGAGAGGATTCTTCTTTGGACTCCGTGCGAGACTAGCGACTCTCTCGGCGCTAGCGCGTAATTCTCTGGCCTCTCAGACCAATAGGAGCTCACCTCAGCTGGCGATTTCATCGCCCCCAATAGACCCTTATGGTTCTTTTTGTTTTTTTTCCTCGAAAAATCTTCTCCTATGCTAGTATTACGTTTCATAGAGCACGTACTACCACTACCAATGTAACTCTGCTCGAAGGACTAATACAAGGCTGGTCTCCCTAAGGAGTTTTCGTAGCGTTGTTTTCAAAATTATCATGTCATAAAAAATAAATGAAACCTGGAAGAAACGCTCACGCATATTGAAAAGTTTCATTGTATGGCATCATAGCCATTTAATTTCGTGATTTATACAGAGTTGGTAATCGTGCTAAGAGAGTTTCATCCTCATGAAACTCGTTTCTTCTCTTCTTAAAAATATTGTCACATCATAAAAATGCATACGTGGCAGCTTATTAAATACAAATAAAATTTTGATAAGATTCCTACTAAAACTAACCTAATAATCTATATAATAAGTCTGTGCCAACAGCTAATCAAAACCGAGTACTGTGCCATTTGAATCCTATGGCATTCTGACAATCCGGATAAAAAGAATCCCAACAGCTATATTAGGCTTTGAGATTCCAAAAATCTATGAGTTAAAAGCTCCTGAAAATCTGGGATTTTTCTATCCAGACTATCAAACTCCGCAGGATTCAAACAGGTCCTACATGCTCTCTCTCTCTCCCCCCGGTTTGCTCCATATCGTTATTATCTTATTAGAGCATCTGCAAAAGTACCACATATTCCTTCTTCATCCATGTTTTTTCTGAAGAAGAGAAAAACACATATCCAAGAGTACCCCATATCCCTTCCAGATCTATTAGCAATTGGTAAATAGGCCGGCATTGTGCGTAAAAATGTGTGTAGCCTTTGTCGCGCGCATCTCTCTTCTAAGCGTGTCTTGTAAAGGTGGAAGGGTGTGGGAAAGAATAGAGAGTAGGAAAGGGTTCCTGATGCAAATGTACGAGAGAGAAAGAATATATAAAAGTGGTCACGATAATTTAGAAATAGTATAGGATACCTGATATAAAATTGTCTTCTATATTTTAGGGGTGGGTTATTGAAAACTCTTGGAGATGGTTTTCTTTCTTTTCTCCCAATATTTTTAAGGAGTTACAAAACTACATTTTTAGGAGAAAAAAATACAATACACAGAGATGCTCTACTTTTAGTTACCAGTTCGATGAAAAAGTTTGTCTTTAGACTTCTATGAGCCTAATTTTTTTACAATTTGACCCTTTTTTGAAGAAAAATTATGTTTGGTCTCCTGTGAGACTTAAACTCATCTTTGGACATGGGGTCGACGCCAGAACTCATGTCGTCGAGGTAACACGTCTCGACGCAACACATCTTGGCGCCGAAGTGCCTGGCCGAAATACTAGATGGCGTTGACGTGGCCAGTAACTCAATCGGCGCCGCAGATCTTGACGCCGACCTCTGGCGCCGAGCTGGCCCACGCTGTTTGCGCAGGCGACCACTGTGGCTCGTCGCCTCTGCCTTCGCGCTGCCGCTGTGATCGGCTACAGAGAAAAGTGTAACACCCCGGTGTTATGCCTGCATTTAGTCACTGCAAATCATACATATCATGCATCATCAAGCATCCTAATCATACATGCCTAATCATGTAAATAACAATTGAAACACTGCTTCGAAACATTTGAAACATGTGTGAAACCTGAATGTTGCATACACCTATTTAAGAGTTGTTCTGTCCTGATTTTGCTTGCTAGGTTAGTGAAACATGTTTGGCTACTATTGTAAATCATCTAGCAATGTTTAGTTCAATTTTTGGAGCAAAGTTTGTATTCAAATTAATTCAAAATTTGGCTTCAAAAATAAATTCCCAAAAATTAGGGTTTTGAGTTAAACGTGGACTTTGACCTTGCAATTCAAAATCTAGAAAGAATTTGGCTGTGGTCATAAAAGCAAAGTTGTAGAAAATTAAATTCTAAGCAACTTTTATTTTTGGTACATTTTCAAAAGATGTCATTTTCTTGCTCAAAATAATATTTGAAAGATGGCATTTAAAAATTCCTTGAAAATACAAATGAAAAAGGCTTTTTCCTCCTTCATGGCAGTCAGCCGCCTCACTTCTCTTACGGCCGAAGCCGCCCAATGAAGCCCCCAGCGCCTCACCTCGCCTCGCCTCAGCCCAATGCTGGCTCCTTCTCCAGCTGCACACGCCCTGTCCAGCACGCCACGCCCCGACAAGCGTCGAGGCTTGCTCACAGCGTATGGCGCCACCTGTCGGCGGCGGGCACGCATCAATCCCACGCACCATGGCAGCTCTAGCACTCACTGCCATGACTTGAATCCTCACACACCCACCGCATTCCAGCGCTCCTCACTTCTCCTCTCCCTCGCTGCCTCTCTGCCTCTCACCGCTGCCCACCGCCATAGCCACCACCGCCCTCACGCGCCTCGCTCGGGCTCGCCCCCGGCCGTCCTAGCTCGCCATTGAACCCTCCATCTCGCCCGCATCTCGACTCATCATCGCCAGCACTCGTGCTCGCCTCGATAAGCCGTGAGAAGCTCCTCTCCCTGGAATCTCTCGCGGAGTTGTGGCCGAGCTCACCGGGCGCTCCGCTCCATGGACCTCGCCCTCCGTCCTTCTTCTAGCTACCTTCTCGCGCGCACGACCACCGCACGAGCTCGGTGAAGCTCCCGCACCACCTTTCGCACCCCTTCCCGGCTGGAGATGGCCGGCCGTCGGGAGCAGCGCCGCCGCTCCGCCATGTGCGCCATCGAGCCCTATCTCGAGCTCCTCCTGTGCCTTCTCTTGGTGCACCGTGTTTGCCTCGTCGCGGGTGAGCTACGGGTGGTGTCCACACATGTCGGCTAGCTTCGGCATTGGTCGGTCGGCGAGGCCTGGCCGGCCACGCCTCTGCCTCTCGGCCTCGATCGATGGTGGGGGCCGTTGACCGTGGGGGCCCGCTCGTCAGCGCCCTGGATCAGATGTGGGTGCACAGCACCGGGTGCACCCAGTATTTTTGTCGGCTGACTTTTAAAAGGATTTAAAAGATGCTTTTTCAGATTTTTGTTAAAAACTTTGGAAAATGTTTGTGTACTCATTTTGGCTCCAAATTTGTTGAAACAAATTTTGCTAGGTTCCTTATCACTAGATCTACTTGGGAAAATTATTGCATGTCATTTTTGAGATACTTTTCTGTAGAACTTTATTTAATCATGTATATTGCTGATAACTTGAAAAATGTGTAGAAAAATCTATAGGGTTCAAAAAAATATGATTCCAAGTTTGTTAATCTTCTTATGTAATGTACTTCCTAGGAAAAATATGTTTCATGCATGAGCTGTGGGAAAATTTTGAGGTGTAGTTCAAGTACCTTTAATGGCTGATTTTTGTTATTTTAGCTAGAGAGCAAACTTTGTATAAAACATGCATGTGATAAATTTTGTACAGTCATTGTATGCTATGAAGAACATAGGAAAAATACTAATTCTGTTGTTTGACACTTTTCACAGTACAAAGTATTTTCATGTTCATAATCATGCCATAGCTTGTCATTTTTGTATAGACTATTTTACTTATCCAAACGCCATGAAAATTTTATGGTAGTCTACTTAGAGTAGTATTATACTACTGTAATTTTCTTAGATTTTTATAAGCACCAGAAATATAGGTTGCTGTTGTAGCCCTAGTTTAAAATGAAATAAAATAATCCTCTTTAATGCAAGTTAGTTAATAATGTTAACTTTAGTGTATCTTTGAAGCATTTAATAAGATGTGTTGACTTAACATATTAGTAGTAGAAGAGAATGCAGTAGATGATATGTGCTTGTAGTATATTTTCTTGGATGATGTTGACTACCTTGCATTCAAACATATCCATTGTATTCATCTCATCCGATGCACCGATTGCATAAGCACTTACGCACATTGCATCATACAAGATCGCAAACCGAGAACCCAGTCGTCATACCCGAGGAGCCCGAGGAGCAGTTCAAGGTGCAGCCGTAGGAAGTGCCAGAAGCCGATGAGGAGGACGTTGAGGAACTTCCGGAGTGCCCTGATCACCGTCCGAGCTCCTTCGAGAGAGGCAAGCCCCGGAGCATTTTTCTCCCGGTTTGCAATGATTTAATTAAATGCTTTACTTTAATTGATGCATTACGTTCAGGAGTTGTTTGCAATCGTTGCTGCATTATACCTTGTTTACCTTTGTTATACTATATCCTTGTTGCCCTGG